GACTTATATGTGGGCTGGGAAGCATGGTCAAAGCTGCAGCTGATTCTCTGGTCTCGCCTGGCTTTTGCTTGTGCCCAGCTCTCTCAGGCCTCCTCAGGCCTAGGCTTGTTTTCCAGTCCTGGGGGTGGGTGGGGGAGGTACGGGAGGCCATCCAGTCTGTCTTCAGCTCTCTCTGTCTTCAGCTCCCCCATTCCCAGGGGCTCCCTATTACCGCTAACCCTATCTGGGTCTGCACCCTCGAACTGGCAAAGCTGAGAATTTTCTCCATTCATTTTTCTGATAAGAGCTGACACAACACTTCATCTTTGCCAAAAGACCAACAAGCTATGCCCACTCTGCGTTTTTACTGTGTTCACCATATTTGACTCATAGAACCAGCTCTCTGCTCCCACTGCAAGTTGTTTGTCTTCTCTTGGTGGACAGTAGTTGTTTTCTAACTAGTTCTGTGGTCGTAAGAACTGGGGCATGGAAGAGAGAAGCCCAGGCGGAAAGACTACAGACTCTCACCATTTTACCCTGAGCTCCAGCAATTTTTGAAAACTAAATCCTTCTCAATTTGTTATCTTAATTGGATAAATTTCTAGAGCCCTGACATGGCTGAGGGTTTTTTTGTTTTTTTGTTTTTTTTTTTTCTATTTTGTCTAATTTTAGAATTCTTTGAGGAGGAAAAGATTTACTGACCTCTTTACATCACTGTAGCTGGAAGTTTCATTTTTTCAGCCTTTTTTGGAGACTGATCTTCCAAGCCAAACAATAACTATAAAATGATATAATTGCCTCAATTCAGTAAATGTTGGGGGCAGTTGTTACCAAGAAAATAATCCAAAACCAAACAAGCCAAAAACTGTGCACGTGATGGTCATAGTATTGTTTGTGCTAATGACAAGTTAGAAATAGCTTACACCCTCCACATTTGGAAAGTGGTTAAGTAAATTACAGTATCAACATGATAAAATTCCGCATGGGCTTTAAGCATGATTCTCCGTAGACTGTACTATTATATATACATTGTCAGTTTGTTTGTGTTATTTACAGATAGGTGTTTATTTATTCGGAAAAAATATGAAGTGGGAGGTAGAGATATAACTCACTTGCCTACCCTGTACTGGGTTCAATCTTTAGTACCAAAAAATGAAATGAAAAAGCAACTAAAGGGACAACTGAATTTCATTAAGTCTGTGATTCAAAAAGTCAATCATAAATTTAACATTTTAAAATTATACAGTTTAATTAATAATAACAGTCCTCATAACAGTCCTTTTTTATAAATATGTAGTGGAGCCATCATTCAAGTCAATCATGTCTTGGCAGTCTTTATTTTAATCCATAATTAGTAAGGAGACTTTTATTAAGTTCTTATTCACAGACTTCCAAATGCCTAGAGTTGGCATTAAGAAATGTAAAAGTTGGTATTTGCACCTCCAGGTGTGCATAAAAATCTAAATATAATGGTCAGAAGCACATGATGAAGAAGATGACGATTCCTTGAGGATGAAGATTTCTTGGTTTATTCATGCAGCCACATGGATAGAGGCCAAACTGCTATCAAAATAGAAAATAATTTCTCACTTGCATTGAAAAGTTCCAAGTACATGGGAATCTCTTCCATGCATTAGTATCATGCACTTTAGAACATCAGGCCGCTTCACTGTATTTAACTTTGAAATCCCCTAGGACTTGGCTGAGGGCAATGTCAAAGTTAAGTGACCACATTCAGGTTTCAGGAAAGGAGGGGAAACAGCACAGAGAAGAGGCACAAGTCTCTTAAAACTTTGGTCCAGAAGTGACACTCACCATGTCTGTTCATGTTCTTTTGGTGAAAATATCCTGAGGCAGGAATATCATAAATTCAAGACCAGTCTGGGCAACCTTAGTGAGATCTGGCTCAAAAGGATGATAAGAAGAAGAAGAAGAAGGGGGAAAGGGAAGGGCAAGAGGAGGAGGAGCAAGACAAAAGTAGGCTGGGGTAGCTCAGTAGGAGAGCGCCTCCAGATTCAACCTTCAGCTTGACACACAAGCTGACAGCAGACACACAATTACTTTGTCCTTGAAACACTTTCTTCCCCACCATGCCTCTTTTTCTGTTTGGTGATCAAACCATCCACTCATGAGTTTTTGAGGGGTGGTACTTCATATTTAAATCATAACAAGAAGGACAGAAAAATTGATGATGGGAGAGAAAACTCCTTGAATAGACAAAGGGGATGGGATCCAGGCCACACATGGAAGGCTGGGACCTGTGGTAGGAGCAGGGTCGGTTTCATCTGCTGTAAGTGAAGAGGTAGCAGAGTGGAAGGTCCAGATGTAAGTGGACTGGAAGATCTGATGATGAGAGGGTATGAAAGTCCTCTTTGTTATGTGAAAGGAAAAAAAAATGAGCTGACTAACTAGAAGACTGCTGAGGGAAGCCGAAACGTGGAAGCAGATGCATGTGAAAGGGACAACTGGTACATGTACTGCATACTTTGGAACATGTATCTGTCAGTTTCCCACCACTATAACAAATGCCCGACCAACTGATGGAAAGGAAAATTTCATTTTGGCTCCTGGTTTTGGAGGGTCCAGTCCATGGTTAGTTTGCCCTGTTGTTTTGGGGCCCCTGGTCAAGTGGCTCATTGTATCAGGAGTGTACCTTAGAACAGAATCTCCCACCCCATGCTAGGACAAAAAGAGGAAGAACTAGGGTCCCACAGTCCCCTTCAAAGGCATGCTCCTAATGACCAAAAGACCTCCCACTAGGCTTCACCTACTAAACTTTCCAACATATCCCTGGGAACAATGCCTTTGACACATGGGCCTTGGGGACACGTAAGTTCTAAACTATAGCAGGCCTTAAATTTGATAAGAAATTAGTGAAAACGGGAGGTAGATGATAGAAAGCAAGAATATTCTGGAGTTTCTCTGTTGGAGTGAAGGACAGCAAAGCAAAAAAGCTACATCCTTTTTTTTTTTTTTTTTTTAAAAAGGGGGGGTAATGGGCTGAGGGAAGATTGCTCCAAGTCATGACTTAAGAAATATAGGTTGCAATGAGAAACCTCAGGTGACTTGGTAGAGAAGGAATATAGCTCAATGGCACAGCATTTGCCTTGAATGCACAAAGCCTTGGATTTGATCTCCAGCCCCACCCCACCCACCCACCCACACACAGAGTCAAGGGACAGGAGGTGGAGATACTGATGGTTGGAATGAGAATTTTAAGGAACTGAGAGAGAGGAGGGCATTGAGAGGTTCTTATAGAAGTCACCACTTAGCCATCTGGAATGATGGGGTGCAGCTAGAAAGAGAGAAAATAGCAATGTGTAATACTAGGGTCACACCTGGAATGCCTGTCATTCTGGTCTTCTAAAATATGCACTTCTTGTCATGACATACCAATTATTACCATACTGTCTCTCAAGTAAATGTTTTGTTTTGTTTGTTTGTTTGTTTTTAAAAAGGGTAATAAATGAAAAAAAGACACAAGAAAAAGAAAAAAAAGATTTGACGCCTGATAAGGTGTCTAAAGGGGGGATCAAAGTTATGTCTTTCCTTGGAAGAATGGACAAAAGTGCTTCTGTTTTCTTAAATGCAAAAGTTTATTGAGGAAAAAAAAAAAAAAACAGAGAGAGAAGGCGAGTCAGGGGCTGCAAATCTTTAACAAGATGAGGGAGTGGGTTTGACCAGAAAGTTAATAGTGATGAAGGAAGGTTATGAAATTACCCCATGGTGTGTGCTTCAGTGCAGCTAGTCAGACATTCAGTGGCCAAAGAGAACAGAGAAGGAATATAAAATGATTACCAGCAACATGCCAAGCCCCAGGCTCAAGACTGATGTGGACTCTGTGCCCCTAAAGGATGGACATAGATGCATGTAAATAAATATTCAACTACAAATAATAGTTTCTCTGAAGGAAAAGGGATGGGCCATGAAGAAATATTAATGGTATCAAGTAATAAATCTAGAACCTGAGAGGAAATGATAGTGAACTGAGGTATGAATAAGAGTTAGGTAGGCAGAGGGATAGGGGACCCACCAGGAGTGGATCCCGGCTAGACTCTGGGGACCAACCAATCAGAAGCAGCTGAGGTGGAGAAGACTGGTATGTGAGTCAGGATGGGAACGCATAGCAAAAAGGGAAAGGCTGGGCACACTCAAGGCAATTGGCTAAAGCAGGAATTTAGTGTTGGAGAATAGTGAATTAGGAAGCTGTCAAGCTGAGCAAAAACTACAAAGCTGTAGTGTTGACATAAAGTATAAACATGCAGCATAATTAAGCCAATATAGGATTTGTTTGGATCACCATTGTGGTGTTCATGGTGGTTAAACAATGGACCATATCTTTAAACAGTCTATATGCATTTTCAGGGTTAAATTACACATTTCTGCAATTATGGGGTTAAGCTGGGAAGGAAGAGTGAAATAAAACATTACATGGTTTTGAGCTCTGATGTGCCTGAAATCCAGGGAGGATGAGGTGAGACCTCTTTGTATTTATGACCAGGTCCTTTTCCTCTTAGTCCCCTTAACTGCCACAGGAAAGAATCTGAAGAGCAATTCTGCTTCCCTCTGTCTCCTTCACTGGCTTCTGGTCTATACCTGAGACCAGGCTAACACAATCTGACCTTCAGATTCAGATGGTAGCAAAAACTATCCTGCAGTAGACAAAAGTCAGCCTGGCCCATCACCCCTAATACACAGCTATTCAGTGCTCATTTTCCACACCCTTTCATCTTAAAGATGGGAGAACTGAACTCCCAGTTCCCTAGATGACAGATCTGGATGGATGTGTGGTGGGTTTAGGGAAGCTACCATCTCTGCCCTCCCTTCCCTTTCCTTTCAGATCTTTGACTGGTAGGAAGCCATCAAATTTTCTTTCTCCTTTCTCCAATAGTAAGTGCTAGGAGTTGTCCTTAGGCTAATTTACAAAATTAAATAAAAGCAACTCATAGGCATTTGCTTATAAAAATAGAACAGTTTGGTAGAAAATGACTAACCAGGGATTTGGCTAATTTATCTTTTAGATTTCTTCCTCATTCCCAAACTCCAGGAACAAGAGATGCAGAGGAAATCAACTTCTTTCTACACCCACATGTGTAACCCCTGGGTCTCCCTGTTAGGGGTGAGTAACTTCAGCTTGATCTCCATCATTCTTTTCTTTCTTTCTTTTTTTTTCCTCCATCATTCTTGAGAAAGAATTCAGGTGGAGCCATGTGCACCTTGGGGAGGGGGCTTCATTAAGAGCAATGTGATTTGATTGCCTACTGCATCAGAATTTTTTTTGGGGGGGGGGTGAAACTGGGGATTGAACTCAGGTCCTTGCACTTGCCAGGGAAGCACTTATTCCACTGAGCCAGCTCCCTGCCCCCCTGCATCAGAATTTAGATGAGACAACATATGGTGATACTTACATTTAACAAAACACTTATTTTAATCAAATGTTTACTTTTTTTTTTTTTAAGTGTAAACCCAAATAAATCATTTATTCCTCTAAATAGATTTTCTCAAGTGTTTGTTAATAAATGTTTACTTTTTAAATAATCTATTATCTGGTAACCCTTGTACTATGTGAGTTTTATACTGCTTTGTTCTTGTAGAGAGTAATGGGACAAGGAGCTAGGATAGAAGGTCTGATTATTGATAGCTTTGATTCAAGTGTTGTTTTCAAGACGGTCTTCCAAATATCTGGTTAAATGAGGGGTTTTGGACTGTGAGTGAACTTCAGTTTTTTAGACTTTTTCAGAGACCAGAAGCTAATAAGAGAGATTATTGTCTTTGGAGGGCGGGATTTGTGTCTCACTTGCCTTGTGCAAAGCCTTCAGAGCACTTCCTCCTCTGTTCCCACAGGCGGTTGGATCCCTTCTCATCATGTTTGTGACCCAGTGGGTCTACACCCTCATTAACATGAGTGTTGCTGCTGTCCTGTATTTCTACATTGGCCAGGCTAGTCCAGGGCTCTACCTTGGTAAGTGCCTGTGCCCTGTTAGCATTCATAGTGGGGGGGGGGGAAAAGCATGCTTTGTACATCTATTAAATGCCAACATTGACACAGATGTGAATGCAGTTTTCAAGGACCTTGTGGTCTAGGAGGAAAAGTACTGTCTGACAGGTACCTAAATGAAGATAGGTGAAGAATAATAAAAATGTTGAGAGGTTTATAAGAGTTGGCTGTAGAAGCATGAATGGCGACACTGGCACAAACCCCAAAGGATGAAATATAGGGTGGAGTTTACTGATGACGCATACTGCTCTAGGTTTCCTGTGCTAGTGTGCAGAACTTAAACTAGGTGAGAAGTTAGGGATACTAATTATAGTATCACTTGAAAATAGAGTTTAACATATCTACCCTGCAGTAACCACTAAATAACACAATAAAAGAACCAGTATAAGGGATCAGGGAGATAGTTCAATAGCATAAGCGCCAGCCTGGCAAGTGCAAGGTCCTAAGTTTGATCCCTATACCAAAAGAAAGAAAGAAAGAAAGAAAGAAAGAAAGAAAGAAAGAAAGAAAGAAAGAAAGAAAGAAAGAAAGAAAGAAAGAAAGAAAAGCTCAGTGGATTAAGGTGCCTGCTTAGGCAGACACAGGGACCAGGGTTCGATCCCCGGTGTGCCATGCTGACCCCACCCCCAGGGTGCACTGAGACTACAATTGAGACTGGGCATGGTGGCACACAGGCCTGTAATCCCAGTGCTTGGGAGGCTAAAAACAGGAGGATCACTATGAGTCCAATCTGTGTAGTGAGACCCTGTACTAAATACATTAAAAAAGAACTAGGATAATATAAACTCAATATAAAAGCCAAAATGTGATCAAGTTTAATGAATAATTATTCAAATTAAAACAAGACAGAAAAACAATTAAGATAATAAGCACTATTAAACAAAAAAATAAATAACAAGACAGTTTATATCTACCTAACCATATCAGTTGTCATATTGAATATAGATTATCTAAACACCCCTAATGGTAAAAATTGTCAGTGAAAGAAAAAAGCATGAATCAACTGTGTTTTAAAGAAGTATCTTTTTGGGCTGGTGAGATAGGTCAGTGGACTAAGCGCCTGCTTTGGCAAGCACAGGGACCAGGGTTTAATCCCCAGTCCTGCATGCCCCACCAGCCCCACCCCCAAGGCAAGCTAAACTGTCCACAGAGTCTGGGTGTGGTGACGCATGCCTGTAATCCCAGAGCTGGGGAGGCTGAAAATAGGAGGGTCATCATGAGTCTGAGTTGCATAGTGGGACCCTGTACTATATACATAAATGGAAAAAAAAATCTAAGCCTAAAAGACATATGTTTTTGAGAGCCAGGCATGGTGACCACACCTATAATCTCAGCACTTTGGAGGCTGGGAGAGTCATTACAAGGTTGAGACCAGCCTAGGCTACAAAGTGAGCTCAAGGCCATTCTAAACTACATAGTAAGACCCTGTCTCAAAAAAGAAGAATTAAAAAAAAAAGAGGTATCTTTTAAATATAAAAAACATACATAGATTAAAAGTAAAAACATTTACTTCTTCTTTTTCCTTTTTGGGGGGTAAAATTGCCTAAGAGTTTGTCAATTTTATTTACTCTTTTAAAGAATCAGCTCTTTAATAGGATGTTGGGAGAAATTCAAATAACTCCCCAAATTTCTATTCTGTTGTTTCAAATCTATTTTAAGATAAATGCTAATTTGTTTCATTTATACTACTAATTTATTTTACTCATGGAAAATAAAGTTTCGGGCTGGCCAAATAGCTCAGCAGATTAAAGCTCCTACTTGAGCAGATGCAGCAGCCCAGGTTTGATTCCCGGTGTGCTGTGCTGGCCCCGAGAGCCCGGGGCATGCTGAAACAGTGACTGAGACTGGGCGTGGGGGCGTGTGCCTGTAATCCCAGCGCTTGGGAGGCTGAACACAAGCAGATCACTACGAGTCCGATCTGTGTAGTGAGACCCTGGAGACCCTGGAGACCCTGGAGAGCCTTACTAAAAAATAAAAATAAAGAAAGAAAAAGAAAAAAGAAAAAAGAAAAGAAAGTTCTATCCTTTTGCTTGTTTCTTCTTTATAAGAGAGAATCTTTTTTGACTTGTACTCTGAGCAATGTTTTGGCCATTCTCTTTAAGATCATGATATACAATATTAACCATTGTTATGCTTCAATTATTTTGTTATAAAATTTTGTTTATTTTTTACAAAAGATTATTTTATATTTTCTTTATTAGTATTACTTACATTGCATTAAAATAAATTATTTTAAAAAGTAAAATGATATAAAAAGCCATAACAGTGATATGGGAAAGAAAACTAAACCAATGCCATTTTGTGTTCTGGTGTTATTTTAGAGCTTAAGTTTCTGTTTCCCTAGTTTGCTTCTTGTAGATGTTGTCATAGCTACCTAACCCATTACCAGCCCAAGGTTTGCCATAAGACTGCTTGTTCCCTATGTAAAATGTCAAACACTTTTGCTCTTCTGTCACAAGCTAAGTCCATGCTTTTGTACTGTTTCTATAGCTGCACTAAACCATATCAGCACCACCCCCTAGACCTGGAACCTGACCTTGACCTATAACTGTATAACTGTTCTCTTCTGCTTTTCAGAGTCAGTACCTGATCTTGCACTGTGTGCCCACCACTGGTCTCTAATATGCTTGTTTGTCTCCATACCCAGACTCCCTGGGTGACTCAAATACATGCATTTGCTGTAACACCAGGACAACACTAATCAAAAGAAAGCTAGAGTAGCTGTATCAACATGAAACAAAGATTTCAGAGATAAGGATATTAAGAGTTTTGGGCTGGTGAAATAGCTCAGGGGACTAGAGCACCTGCTTAGGCAAGCACAGGGACTGTAGTTCTATTCCTGGCACCACATACCATGTCAGCCTTGCCCCCCGGGCAGGCTGAGCCGCCCAGAGTCCTGGGGTAGTGGTGCATGCCTGTAATCCCAGTGCTGAGGAGGCTGAATGCAGAAGGATCACCACAAGTCCCAGCTGTGTAGTGAGACCCTATAACAACCAAATACATTTTTTTTAAAAAGCAAAACACAGAATTTTAAAATATGTGAAACAAAATCTGGATGAAAGTAAAGAAGAAATAGAAAAATTCACAATCACAGAGATTTCAGTCTCTCTCTCTTTCTTTTGTCTCTCTAACACATAAAACAATAGCCATAAAATCAGCAAAGCTGTGAAAGACTGAATAACACAAACAAATTCGACCTGACATTTAGCAAAACCACTAAAGGCCTGGGAAGGTAGCTCAGAATTGTCCCCATCCCACCCCTAAAAAAGAGAGAAAAAATATAGAACACTGTCCAACAACATCAGAATCGTGTGTGTGTGTGTGTGTGTGTGTGTGTGTGTGTGTGTCGTACAGGGTCTACAAGGTCTCACTACACAGATCAGACTCATAGTGATCTCCTGTTTTCAGTCTCTCAAGCTCTGGGATTACAGGTGTATGTGCCACCATGCCCAGTCTCAATCGCTGTCTCAGAGCACCCCAGGGTTGGGACTGGCATGGCACAGCACGCTGGGGATTGAACCCCAGTCCCCTGCTCTGCCTAAGCAGGTGCTTTAATCTGCTGAGCTATCTGGCTGGCCTTTCACAATATCCTTTTTACATTACATATACAGCATTTACCACAATAGACCATATTCTAGGAAATAAATAATGTTCTAATAAATTTACCACTATCCAAGTCATTCCAAAAATAAAATATTTTTCTGACCAAAGGAGGAAATAATTGGAAATCAATTTCAGAAAGATATAGCAAAGTTCCTAAATGTTTAGAAAATAACACTAAATAACCAATACTAAAGAACACTGCCTATGTTATAGGGTAATAATATCATTAAGCTTCTCTTCTGGAGGGTTAACGACTTAAGTTTGCAGACCAAAAATTAGAGAAAAAGAAGAGCTCCAAGGACAGCCAACATTTTGGCCCTAGCCTTCTCAAGGTCAGTGAGGACTCAGGACATAGGAGAACCTATACTGTAACATCCTGTAACTCTTGCTATTTGTTTCTCTTTTTTAAATTAATTTTATTGAGAAAAAAACTGCAATGTGGCAGCTTCAAAACAGGTTGGTAGGAGAGTTACAACAATTAATACACTGCATATTGTTGTCTTTGTAGTAGTCATTCATAGCACAAGATGCACACGTAATATCCTGTGCAAACACTGTTAGTACAGGTATTTCTTCTTACTGAATTAAGAGAAAGTAGCTATATATCTATCCTATTTTGTATATACAGATACAAAATTGTCCTTCATTTATATCACCTTTTTTTGTTCAGTTTTGTCAGAGATGAGTATTCCATTGCCATCCAAATATTGTAGGTGCATGAATTCAACAAAATATTCCAATATAGTCCAGAACTCCTCAATAGTAGTGGATTATCCATATTTGTTTCTCAAGAAAATTAGTTTAAAAAAAGAAAAAGAAAAAGCTAAAGCAAAAAATAAAGAAAGAAAGAACACTAAGCTACAGAAACTGACCCATGGTTCAAAGAAGAAAGCAGAAGTAAAATTACAGTGTTTTGAATGGAAAGAGGTTACAAATACAACATATTAAAATTGTGCGTGTAGCTAATTATGTAATGGAAATTCATATATTAGGAAATGTCTATGTTAGGAAAAAAGAAAGTTGCCAAACCAGTTACTACAACTTCCAATTTAAGAAACTAGGAAAAGAAGGTCATCTGGCTATTGAAAATATAAAGAAGCCTGCAGTGACATCAGAGAAGTGCTTTTGGAAATGGTAGTTAGGAAATGTGTGGGAGGAAGTCCTTTGGAAAAGGTGTGAAGAGACTTTTGGAGGCAAAGTCTCCAAAGGTATCCTAGTTCCACAGCGTGTGTATGGTATGTGTGCATGCATGTGTTGACGCAGAATACTGTATGTTTTAAGTATATCCAGCTTGTTCAAAGATCATATCTGAGATTTGATTTAATTAAGTATGGAGAAGCACACAGACCTGGACAGGACGGTCATATAGGGAGCTTATACCCACATATCTTTGAACACAGTTGGCATGGCCTGCCAGCCTGGGCCATATAGGAAGGACCAGGTTCAGTCCAGGGCAGAGAAAGAAAAGGAGAGAACATGGCTCAAGCTCTTCACTGGGATTTTTACAAAAAGGAACTGGAAAGTCAGTGTAGGTTGATTAAGGTCATGAGAGATATTTGCATAGTTGTGACAGATTCTAAGCCCCCACTGTCTAGTCCTCATGTGACTTAAGCCAGGGAGAACAGTACCTTGGTGTGTGAGGGTTTGATGAAGGATAAAGCTGTGGGTATCGGTTGGTTTATTTGTTTACCAAAGGCATTAGACATTGAGTGTACTATATCTAGCAATTAGCTGGACTTTCTAGGCCCAAACTGCCAGGGCAGCATGAATACAGAAAAAAGGAAGAAGAGACAATATGTAGTATTCTGCTGCTGTAACAGAATCCTAAAGACTGGGCAATTCGTAAACAACATAAGTTTATTTGACTAACAATTCTGGAAGCTGAGAAGTCCAGATTGGGGGTTCATGTCTTGTGAGGCCTCTTTGCTACATAAAATGGCAGAAGATGTCACATGGGATGAGGAGGGGGTGAGGAAGGTGAAGCAGAAGGAGGAAGAGGTGGAGAAGGGGGAGGATAGGGGGTGCAGGAAGCTGAACTCATTCCTTTACCAGGAGCCCACTCTGGAGATAGGAGGGCATTAATCTTAGGGTCCCTGCCTCTCAACACTGCTGCACTGGGCTAAAGTTCCAAGCTAATGAACTTTGGGTGACACATACAAGCCCAAGCACATAGTTTATTGTGTAACTTCCCTCAATAATAAAGCTATTTAAAAATATATTAGAGGGCCCTCTTCAGAAAATTCTATGTTGCTCCAATTTAAAATAAAGCAATTAGTTTCAAGCCCTGACTAAATCAGGTAGAACAGAATAATCCAGGCAAATAGAATTTTAGAATTCTTAGGGATGTCACATCTGGTGGAGGTTTCTGGGTGGCCTTCCACCTCTGTTCCTGTCCTTGCCCTCATTGCATCTAAGAATGGAGAAGTGGGGCTCTTAGTAAGAAATGGGGAGTCAAGGCTGAGATAGTGCAAAGCCAGAGTTTATTTAGGGTTTGGAAAATACAGACAAAGCAGAAGAGAAACTATTTTAACATCAGGGAGATGCTACAAGTCAGGGGTATCTGCTCACGATGCCCGTGAGTATGAGGTGTGCTTCATTATGAATGCTTCTGAAATTAAAAAAATATATATTTTTATGTTCAGAAATATAAGTGTTTCCCAGAAATCAAATCACAGAAAAGTACAAAATCAAAGTTCAGGCCAAAATCCATCTAAAATTCAGATGAGTTGGAGTTTAAATGATCGTTCGTAAGTAGGATCTTCTAATAAAATGTTTGTCTTGCTTTCCGACTTCTAACAGACTATATACTGATTCTCTAATTGTATTAAGAATCTCTTCTTTGCAATTTGCAGATACTAGTGTAAATCTAAAGTTTATTCTCTCTTTAACCCTAAGAACCCTAAAGGTTATGGGGTAAACATGACATCACTGCATAATCCTGACATTGGCCATTGGGAAATGCATGGGAGGAAGTCCTTTGGGAGTGGGTGGAGGAGACCTTTGGAAGTGATGAATGTGTGGGTTATCTTGTTGCTATGATAGTTCCACAGTGTGTGTATGGTATGTGACATCGGCCAAATCCTAGACTGAGGTTTTTTTTTTTTTTTTTTTTTTGGGGGGGGGGGGTTGGTGGACAGGCCCTTGTGCTTGCCAGGCAAGCGCTTATTCTACTGAGCCATCTCCCTGGGCCTGTAAGTTCTTAAAGTAATGCTAACTTCCTGTTCATACACTGAACATAGTCCAACCAATATCCCCTGTATATTTGCATATCTATAGCTAATCTTTGAAAAGGATTTTCTAGCCAGGTATGGTGGCTTAGTCCTATAATCCCAGCACTGAGGTAGCTGAGGCAGGATTGCCATGAGTTCAAGGCCAGCTTGGGCTACATAGTGAGACCCTGCTGAAAAAAAGAAAAAAAAAAGTATTTTCTAAAACTGCACTTGATTTTTTTTCAAATTGCATATCATTTGTTTCCTGAGGTGTTTTACTTGTTTGTTTGTTTTTGCCTTTTTTTTAAACCTACACTGAGGGGAGACTGGCTTTTTTTTTTTTTTTCAAGGTTTTATTGATTAACAGATAGCAATGAGACAGTTTCAAATCAAATCGGAAGTACAGTTTCAACAAATAATACACTACATATATATTCTTCTTAGTGGTTAATTGCTGTACAAGAGAGACTGGCTTTTTAAAAGAAAGATTATACCAGAATTGTTTGCTCAACGTCAACAACTATTTCACTTCAGGCTTTAACACTAAGATTCTATGTGTTGAACTATTAGATCCACTTAACACCTGTCAAAAACTTAAGTGTCAGATCCTGTGAGGGTTACAAGGATGAAAATGACATGTTCCCTATTCTTTAAAAGTATTGGCCCAGTGGGGTAGCATGTATTTAACATATATTAGCATGAATCTAAGAATAAATATTACCTTTTTTTTTAATTTCTTAAGATGGAAGTTATCAAGTTGCCTACATTTTTCTCTATAGCATTTGATTCAATTGCTTTCTTGGGATTTTGTGTGTTTAGAAATAAATATTTGGCAACTACACATGGACAAAATCTTTAATAGGTTGTTGTCAGCGCATATCCAAGGAATGTTGTTCAGTTAGTATGAAAAAGGGAAAATACTTGTGCTCATTCATGCGCACATGTGCTGAAGGTATACATTCACTCCACGAAGCTGTGATTCTGGGTTCCTATGTACAGCCTCCATAAATACTTACCTTGGGCCGGCCAGATAGCTCAGCAGACTAAAGCACCCTCTTAGGCAAAGTACAGGAACCGGGGTTGGATCATAGGTGTGTCATGCCAGCCACACCCTTGAGTCACTCTGAGACAGTGATTGAGACCTGGTATGGTGGCATGCGCCTGTAATCTCAGTGCTTGGGATGCTGAAAACAGGAGGATCACTATGAGTCCAATCTGTAGTGAGACCTTGTACTAAATACATAATAAATAAATATTTATCTCTCCTTCATGCAGGATCAGCCTCCAACTTCAGCTTTTTCCGATGGATGAAGTCCCATCTGATCCCCTCCTGCAGGTCTGTGCAAGTTTGGGTCAGTTTGAGTGGATGGTTGTCCTAGATCCTGGATGATGAGGGGGCCCCATTCTCAGCCAAGCTTTGGCCTGGACTGTGGTGTGGAAGCTGACCACTGAGAAACAGAGGAGGCTCCCATTCTGCCCCTCACTGCCCACCCCCGCTCTGCTCTGGCTCCTGCTTTCTGCCATCTTACCCTCAGTCACGTGTTCTCTGAGGTGTTTTACTTGTTTGTTTGTCTGTCCTGGAGGACTGCAATGGACCTGCAGGGTAGGACACATGGGAAAGGGGAGGCCTCATAGAGGAGGTCATGTTTCATGAAGAACTCATCTTTCCCCTTCTCCACTCTCAGAGCACCAACGCTTCCTTACCTTTTAAGGCCTTGAGATTCTGGTGAATGCCTTCCTTCATTCTGTCACCTTTTAATGTCAGTGAGGAGCAAGAACTGCAGGCTGGGCAAATCCAGGCAGAACCCAGCCAAGTGTTTATGCAGTTTCATTTTGTTAGTTTGCTCTTGAAACTGCAGATGTCTCGTTTGCACTTGCCAGTGTTTCTACCTTCCTTGCCCAGACATTGCTAATGAGTTATGGGGCCTTCTCCATTGAGCCAAGATGCAAGTTTTTATTGCGGTAAAATATACATATATTTCATCGCCTTCACTATTCTTAAGTGTACCTTTCAGTGGTATTAAACACAACCACACTGTCATACAATCATCGTCCCCACCCATCTCCAGATCATTTCATCTTCCTGAGCTGGAACTCCACACCATGAAACAATACCTCGTTGTCTCGCAGAATCCTTTTTAGGACAGTGCTTCATGATTACTGCCAGTATGTTCGAGTTGACACAAGAAATGCAGCCTTGGTGCTAGAGCCTGGGATGATGAAGAAAAGGGAGCAGGCTTCTAGAAAAGAACTGGCAGAGCCAGAGATCCGAGGGCGCAGGGATGAGACATGGAGTATGAGAGAACGTTCTGCCATCTGCTTCTGCTGGCTGGACTAGATGTCTCCTGTGGAGCTGCAGGAAGGGTGTGGGGCCTCCTCTCCTCTCAGCCAGTCTTGGGTGACTCGGATCACAACATATCCACACTGATCTCTTTTCCCCAACAACATAGTCCCTGGGAAAAGCAGAGCTTAAGTGGAAACAGTTCTATGTAGAAGATACTTACAGATTCTTGAGCTCCGGAGGATGTGTGGGTGATCACAGGTGGTGTGGCCTGACTAAGAATAATTGAGTCATTTCCAGTTTTTAAACTTAACGATGCCTTTGGGAGGTCACTGCTTCTTAGGTTGCATTCTGGATTCCTGAGACTTTACCATGAGGTCCCTGCAGTACTATGTAGAAGGCAGAATGCATCAGGAGGTGCTTATACAGGACAGTCTTTGGGTGGGAACAGACCTCGAGCCCACCCCTGAAAGTCCTGTGTCAGGCTCCCAGTTGATGAAGTGGGTAGAAGGGGCTAAGTCAACAGCACACTTACTTGATCTCACCAGGCAGTATTCTATGATGATTACAAAGAGGGGGATAGGACCAAAAAATGGCTAATCATTTAAAAATAGAAATTGGTAGCTGTGTTTTCTGCTTTGTAGTTTTGCGGGTTTTTTCTCAACTAAAACCCAAATTTCCTTCAAAACTGGAAAGGAATAATAAACTAGTAAAATGTGTATGAGCAGGCCATGGCTATGTTGTGCCCTGTCACAAGTGACATGAAATTAACCCTCACCGTGAGAAGACTTTCTTTTCCGAAGCTCTAGCAACACTCCAC